GGACAGAGTTTATCCCAACCCCAATGGTTTGGGAAACTGAAAAACAACCAGATCTGTATCAGGTAAGTGGCAGGACTGAAAAACAGAAACCCTGGGAGAAGACAAGAGTAGGAAAAGCAGCCTCAGGCAAGAAAAAATAACATTTCCATGAAGCCAGGTCGGGAGGTGAGTATGGCCCAGGCAGTATTCACAGAGCAGCAGGAGATGAGAATTGGAGCCAACAATTACCCAAAGGAAATCAGTGGCTGAGGAGGTACAAAGGAATTAAACTTTCCATTGCAGACACACGTGCTCGTTAGCATCTCTAGGGTGCCTCGCTTAAACATTTGGGTTTGGATACTTTCCTGAAATCCACAGGAGGATTTTTTGTGCATTCTCCCCTCTCTCCTAAGCACAAGTAGCTGTGAGCTGGGGTGGGGCTGCACTCCGGTGTGGCTTTGCAGGGTCCCTGTGCGGCTCAGTCCCCCTGGCTGCTGCAGGGGCAGGGATGGACTTGCACAGCCTGAAAATGCCTCTGGCTGCTGGGGCAGATATTGGGCACCCACCGTGGAAACCCACAGCCCATCCTGCCAGTCCAGGGTGTAGGGCCACGAAAACTGAACGGGAATGTTTAAGTTCTCTCACAGCTCTTTATTAGCAAAGAGAAAGAAGAAGTGTGGCCTCAGCTATATTTTTTTTTCCTTCAGGAGAAAAGTATTTTTTCATCTTGGAGCAAAGCCTTTTTACAGTACAGAGGTTTTTAACTGCTGGTTTAAGCCATAATAGAATGACTGTTAGAGATCACTCAGTTATGAAAATTTTCTAACAAACCCCATGTTTTCTTAAATGAAAACTTCCATTCAAAACTCCTGTTTCCAGTGGAGCAGGGCCATAGCCTTGCTGCCAAACTGGTGTGACTGCATTTTGCTATTCCTGCATAAGCCACATGTGCTGTCATTGCACTTTACTTGCAACTACCAGCATCATTTATTTCTCCAACATGATAAAGCCAGTGCAATTGCAGGAGAGACACAAAGTCAGGATGCAACCTGTCATTTTGGGATGTGGCAAAGTCCCATTTTGATTTGGAAATGCTAAGCCACAGGAAGAATAATAATAATTAGGTCTGTAATGGGACAGGCAACTCCAGACACTTCTTTTCTTCACCAAATGGTGATAACAGTATAGTTGGGAGAGGTGGAAACACTCCCTGTGCCCAGGGAGGTCCAGAGCAGGATCATAACTGGGAGAAAAAAGGCAAATTCTGGCCAAGCTATTAAGAGAAGCCCATAAATAGGTTCTGTCTCTGCAGATGATTCTGTACAGAGTGTACTTCCATGAGCTTTGCACTAAAGAGAAAGGCTCTGGGAGTGGATGTGGTACCAGGGGCAGAGGCTGACAGTCTGGGCTGTGCCAGGCTCTGGAGGAGCTTGGAAGCTTTTAGGCTTGAGCTACCACTGTTCTCTCACTGCAGGGCCCCTCTGTGGCAATTGTCCATAGCTTTCCAAGGCAGGCTCCTCCATCAGGAGAAGCACGAGGTGGCTCAGAGCTTATCAGTGTCTGTGGAACTCAGGACAGATCCAGTCCCTGCAGCAGAGACCTTCTCTGTGAGCTGCCTCCTGTTCCCAAAATCCCAGTGCCACCCACTGACTGGAGGGAAAGAAACTCCTGGACTTTCCTTGCAAGTGCAGCATTGCCACCACCCAAATTTTTCAGAGAGGGCAGGAGCCCCTCTGGTGGGAAGGGCTGGGCAGTGCTGGGCTCCTGCTCAGCTTCCAGCCCTCATTCCCAACACTTGGCCAGCACAGAGCAGCTCCTGCTGTGGCAGCCACTGGCACTGGGGAGCCCAGGGTTAAAATGCTGCTGGTTCAGTGTCAGTGGGAAAACACAACAAGCAATTGCATGACTGAGCTGCACATCTTGTGTTTCTTTGGGGCAAAACTAAAAGGCTTTCCAGCCCTTGTGGTCTTTATGGACTTGTGAAAAGGCAGGAACAGGCTCTGTCACTCAGTCAAGTGTTGTGTCAGCCAAAGAAATTCTCTCTCCAGCACATAAGCCATGCATGGCAGAGTTTCTGGCTGTGCCTCTCCTTTGGGAAGGAGCCAGTGTTGCTGCTCCTTGGAGGGGCTGAGCTGCAGGGCTGGCAGCAGGACATGTCCCTGCCTGTGCCCTGGGGTTTGGAGGCCTCTCCAAACTCTGCTCCCTCCCCAGGCACAGCAGCTCCAGTGAGGACAGTGAGCAGGATGCCCCAGCCAGCTGAGGCACGGAGGGGTGGCCATGCCATACAAAACCCATTCCTTGTGACAGGGACTCCAAGAGTTGCTGTGTGCAAGGCACTGAGTTCCTTTTCACCTTTAATGAAGCCATTTTTCACCTTAAAGGCTCTGTTGCAAGGGACAAAAGCACATTGCTGTGGCCAGGCACGGTGGGATCATGGCTCAAAACTGGCCCAGTGCAGAGCTGGCTCCCACAGCTCCCATGGGACTGAGAGCAGGAGAGGGGAGAGCTAGAATGTGGCAGCAAGTGGAGCCCCAACCACCTACAGTGGCTACTTGCAAAAGCTACCTTTCCTGTTAATGAACTCGTTGAAAATGAAAGTGCTCTGGCTATATTAATAAACACTGTTTTCCTCTGCAGAACTCCTTTTCCAAGCACTAGTAAAGCAATTTGTGTAGCCAGATTCACAGTGTCTTCTGATGCAGAACTCAGTTTATTTTTAGATCCCTCTCTAGGGTAAATCCTATTTCCATTGAAGCTTCACGCCAGCTTAGTTTTCACTCAGGGACTTCACAGCAACTGGCCGGTGGCTTTGTAAACAAACACATCTCCCTGCCTTTTAGTGTGGAGTGTTCTGGCTCTCCTGGCATTTCTTCTGAATAATTTTCAATTATCAGTACCCTTCAATGTACAGATTATCTACAAAGTAGATGCTGCACTTAATTTCAGCCTCATCATTACTGTTTGCCACCCCTGAAGGGATGAAACATCCCTTGTACATCTCATTAGTGGCTCCAGGGTCATGGGGTGGGAAAGGTCCTGGGGCAGGCATGGCCATGGGGAGCAGGAGGGACAATTCAGAGTTCATTTTCTCTTGGCTCTCTTTCTGATTTTACAATTTTGAATCTCTAGTAACCAGCATTTCTTTTTCAAAACACATGCCTCAGAGTCTATCATACTTTTGAGGCTTTTGACATCTGGAAGTAGGTTTTATTAGGGTAAAATATGGGGTTTGGAAGGTCCAAAAGGTTTTATTCCTTTTACATTACCTATAATCATCTCCCACTTAACCCCAAAAACATTCTAATTTTCTCACAAATGGATGGACCTTTCTACTTGCAATTGCATTTCCTTAACATGAAAAAAGCAAGAAGGGCCTCTCTGGTTTAAATACCCCCCCAAATTTGATTTATGAAACCATTTGAGAGCCATATGCACACATCACAGATGTACTCTCACTCAGGGAGGCTAAAATTGACAAGGGTGGCCCCTAACTACCAGCAAGAAATCACAAACATATTTCATATACTTGGTCATTGAAGATTGTGAAAGGCAAACAAGCCATGAGCTGGGCAGCTCACTCCACCTAAAGGAAGCAGGAGGCAGAAACCACAGCTCCTCCTTATTGAAATAAAGGAATAGCCAGAGTTTAAAAAATAGTAAGAATTAATTAATGAGACAACAACAGCAATAATTATAATAATAGGAAAAGATAACAATAAAATGTTTAAGCCCTTAAGCCTGATGCTCTAGGACCACTGCCTGGAGTGGTGATGCTGCAGGAGCTCAGAGAAGCTCCCACTCATCCTGAGATTCCTGATGGAAGGAAACCTGCAGAGTTGGGGCAGTGCAAGGACAGCTCTTCTCCTGTGCTCTGCCAGTGACAGGGCCCAGGGTGGGACAGGGATGGAGCACAGCAGCTCACAGACAATCCGTGTCACACAGTGCAGGTGGGAAACTGCCTTGGCATCCAAACATCCAAAGATCTGTTTGATCCCATCCTGGCCCCACTGGTGTCACCTGAACTGGCAAATGCACAAGGGGAGGGGAGTGGAGGAGCATTTTCCCTGGGGCTTTCTGCCATTGGAGTGCTGGTGAGCAGTGCTGAGCTTGAAGAGTGACTGCAGTCATCAGAAAAGGAAAATGCCCTGGGACGGAGCTGAAGGGAGATACTGCTTATTCCTGATCCTGCTTTGCCAGCCTATGTTTCACTAGGCTGGCTGCTGACATTTAATTGAGTTTCATCAGGATGAAGGAATAAAATTTGGCTCAGGTAAGAAGAGAACTGTTTGGATGGTGAAATAATAAGAGACTTTGAGGGATCCCTTGGGTCTTGCAGGTCTTGCCAGGTCTTAATTTCCATAGGGAAATTCTGAATTGCCACACTGAAACTAACTCCCAGAGCATTCCTGCTGCAGCCTTGAAGTCCTGGTGGTGCTCCAGGATGACCCACCCTACCTTTGGCTTGTCCCCACGTGGTTCTTTCTCTTGGGTGGCTGCAGGATGTGCTCCATGGGCCCTTGGACACCTCACTGGCACCAAGTGGGACTGTGCTGCTCAGGGCTTGGCAGGAGGAACCTGCAGCACTCAGGTGAAGCTGGGCTCATGCAGTCCCTCCAGAGGGAATTATTTCATCCATAGAACACAACAGGCACAGGCTCAGGGTTGGTGACTGGGTGAGGGAGGAGGCAGAGTGGGAAGCACAGGGTGGGGAAGTGGGGCTGAGCCCCAGCCTGGCAGCTGCTGGTGCAGGACCTGGCTCTAAAACCAGGACTTGATGGGTGCAGCCCCTGGGGCCTGCAGGGGCTGAAAGGATTCACTGTCAGTGCTGAGAGCCGTGTTAAATGCTGAAACCCTTCCATGGCCCTGCCAGCTCCCCTCGAGTCAGGAACAAGGCTCCTGGAGCTCAGCTCCCCATGCACAGCCTGGATCTCCTTGGTGAGGACAAGTCCTGACAGCAGCCTCGTGCCTGCCCACCCCAGCATGTGAGGACAACTGGCCAAAATCAACACAGACACATTCAGTGAGGTTTTTTTTTAAATACATTTATTAACCAATGTTAACACATTAAATGACTCTATATATTGCTAGTCAGAGCAGCTTACAAAATGCCAGAATGCATCATAAACTGGACAGCCACAATGAATAATTACAATGTGCATAGTGGCTAAGCTCAACACTTTAATATAGCTTTATGATTTGCAGAAAAATTAATTTTAAATCATGGCTCCTAAAACAATCAATTGTAATTTTACCTAAAACTTATACAAAACCAGGCCACAATCTTTTTTTTTTTTGTTTTGTTTTTTTTCTTTAAAACACACAGTTTTCACGCTGTAGTAACTTGGAAATGTGCAACCGTGTCAACAGAGACAAAAAAGCCAAAGTAACACGAATCTTACTTTCATGCAGCTATCAGTTAAATATTACATATTCTGGAATGATTTTACACCAAAAATATTTCCACAATACTTGCTTTCATAGGGGTGGATCGAAGTTTTGGAACTCGTAAAGTAATCAAACAAGATTGATTTTTTGTTGTGAAGTGTTTTACAGTCACAACACAGAGGCGACAAAAGTTAATTACACATTTATCAGGCAATAATGTAGCTGTGGTAATACAAGTTACCATCTACTTACTATTTTTTCCAATCAACTTACCACTTAATTTCTGCAACATATTGGGCATTATTTGGCGGTATCTAGTCAATTAACTTATATCACCACTGTAAGTAAAAAAGGTCAGGATTTCAGTGGTAGTTCACAGAAGTCTTAGTTATATTTTTGTCTTTACAATGACCCTGACAAATCCTAGAGAAAACTTTTTAAAAGGCTTTCCTCCTGGTTCTTCAGCTTCCATCGTTCCATCATGTAATTGCTTTCAATAAATATCAAAGATCTAAATAAATATTTACAAATTATTCCTCTAACTTCTCAAAAAATAGCTGGATGATTAATGGGCATATGACTCAGTCTAAGACCAATCCTTGAAAGAAACTAAAATATGGAGACACTTTAAAAGAAAAGCTATTTAAGTAAGCTTTACATCTATTTAAAAAATTGTCTCTGAACATGGATGCAATTTATATATCTATATATAAAACAAACAAAAAGAAAATAATTTTTCAACTATCGATCCATTCCTATTGGCAATGCTTCTTAATCCAGACATTCCGCAAAATACAGACTTTTTACAAATCACGGCATCTTTAATACAAGAAAATTAACATGCATTATTCTTCATTCTGAGTACAGTGATGGAGCTCATTATTAGGCAATGACCCATTACTACAAACATAACGGCTTCTGTGAAACTTAAGTGCTTTTTCTCCTTTTATTATCAGTTACAATGGACCAGGTGACACCAGATCAGAGGTGGTCAAATGACATTGAAGGGGGGGGCGCAATAAAGTAACTTGTATGCCTCAAAATTCCGAGTATGAATAAAGGTAGTTGGGTGTTTTTGTTTGTATGGGTTTGTTTTTTTGGGTTTTTTTTTTTGGCTTTTCGTATTCTTGTTATAAGCACTCATGTTAGAACAAAGACGAAATGTGCAAACTTCAAAATTTAAATATTCATTTTTCTCTAAGATCCAGCTCAGTAAAAGATTACCCCAGTTCCCTATGATTTTAAACTACAAGATCAAAGCTAATATTTTGTTATAAAAGTTATATATTGAAAAGAAATAATGAAAATAAAACACAGTTGGGAAATATTTAAGAAAAAATACGCAGGACTAGCACCTGCTGTGTCAACCCTGTTCCCTAAATTCAATCATGTACCCACTGGTATAACCAATAGATAATGCCTTTAAACAGTAAAATTAAGCTGAACAAAACCAGCTCAACAAGGTTAAGAAATAAATGTTACATCAAGGTAGTATGCTTCGTTTTTCTGAAACAGTTCTGTACTTCTTACATTCAGAACTTGTTTTTCAATGTTCCTTTTGTTAAACTTGCATCATTTTTTTGTTTTTAGATCTGCTGTTTTTTAAAGATTAAAATCTCTGTAAAACCTAAAAATGTCTTAAAATTTGCTGAAAATGCAACAAATCCTCTAGTTTAAAATTACTTGAAGTAACCTGCTCCCACAGATGTTCAATTCGTTTTGCCGACAAAATTTTGGAGGAGCATTTTTAACAGAAGACTGAAATAACTGTGCAAAATTCCTTTTACGAAAAGTGTTTAAAGGCTGGTGCAAAATGGGAAGCAAATTCTAAACAATTTTGGCTTTTATTTATTTATTTTTTTTTTTTTTTGGAAACAAAAACCGCTCTGTCTGAGAATAGCAATCATTGGGGTGGTGCTCTAGGGGAGGAGTAACTCTTTCATCTTTTCCTGCGGCAGGTACGTTTGTGTTCGGCATGCCAGTGCTCCTGCTGACACTTGATGGAGCAGTAGGAAGTGTTCCAGCAGCAGTGGTACATGGCCTCCTCTTCACAGTTGTAGCACTGGGGAGAACAAAGGAGAAAGGATTATTCTCCTGGCAGGATCCTTCCTCACCTGCTCAGCAGCATTGCCCCCAGCCCTGCTCACACCCAATGCTCCTCTTATTGCTCAGGGCAACCAGGGGCATTTTTCACTCGTGCTGAGTGAAGCAGCAATCTTCAGCAAATCTGCACAATGCTTTCCTATTTTCCAGACTCTGGATTATTGCTTTTTCAAAAAATCATCTCTCACTTAGGAACACTCATCTCTCAGGATGGTGGACTGACATTTTTCAGCCACACAGTGCAGGAACCATCTTTTACCCTGCATTTGTGTAATAGCACCCTGATCTATGTCTTAAAAGCTACAATAAATCAACAGGTGCTGCTGACGTGAACAGGCTCTGCACAAGCTTGAAAATCAGTGTTTGTGAGGTTTCTTTATAAGCCTGGCCTGCCCAGAGGTTGCTGGGGAAGATCCTTTTGGTCTAGAAAATCTCAAAAATCACAACAATAGCATCCCAGGAGGCAATAATTATTGATTTGTTAGAGCCCATCTGGGGCCAGCCTGCAAGGATGCTGCTGTCACCAGGGGTTGCTGACTGCCAGCCAGCACTGCCACCTCCTGAAGGGAAAACCTTGTGCTCCATCAGTGCTACTGAGCAGATGATAAAAGTGTTTTTTCCTCCAAGCCTTAGATGAACCCAAGAAGGCCTGTTGTACACAGGTTAGCTACCTGGGCTCTTGCCCTTTGTCGTGCCTGCCAGAACTGCACAAAACTCCTGAAAGAAAGGTGCTGTGACACAGCTCATGGTTTGTGCAGAATTATTTGGTTCTGGGGAAGGCTGCAGCAAAGATGATTTCCACTTCGGAACACAGAGAATTCCCCCAGCTTTCTGATAGCTGGAAGAGCTACTTGGAAAATAACCCTGTGGCCTCTGAGGAACTAAGAAAGGGAATGCAACATGGTCAGAACTACAGGTGGCCATCAGGGAGGCACAGTACTCACACAGGCAGTGTGCCCTGTCTTCAGGTGGGTCTATGCCCCTTAAGGGAGTGCTGCAAAAGCATTAACCATCATTTTGACAAAACTCCATAAAGAAAGGTGGCATTGCTGCTAAAGGAGGTACCATTTATACTTCTGTGTCCTGGAGAGCCAGCTCCTAACAACCTCAAATTTGTCTTTCTGAATTTGGTCTGCTCAAAATCCAGAAGCATCTTTAGGAATCCAGTCTGAAATGCTTATTGTGTGATGGGGAACCAGGGGGAGGGATATCACACAGTCTGTGCAGGCTGCTATCAAACCACAGAATAACACACAATTTACTTTTTATGTCTTGTCTAGCTACAGCTTTGCTAATAAAACAGGGAATTACAAAGAAAAAAAACCCCAACTGCCTCAAAAGAAAAACCACAACAACCCACATTACTGAAAGACAGTTCCAAGAAAGCCAGCTTTCACATTGGATAAACTGATAACCATTTATTTACATCAGCAATAAAGGGACTGCCCTAGCTGTGTGAGAAGGGAACCTCTCCATTTTCCTTTCATAATTTAGCTCCTGGGAAGTTTATTTGTAAAAATGTCTGCAAACAAGTGTCCTCTTGAGAGCTGTTTTCCTGGTTTTTCATGTTGCTGGCTGCCCACAAGCCTGTGGGAGCCATTAGGATCATCTGCTGGAAAGGTGCAGGGAACAGCTGTGTCTCTCCATTATATACAGCATGGGCCTCAGCCCAGAGAATAAATTCACATCTGCTGGCTTGGAGAGATCAAAAAATGCTACAACAGGAGAGGACAACTGATCTGTGGGTCCTGCACTTCCCTTTACATATGCTGGCCATAAGTGTGGGATGTAAATCTCCACTTACAAAAGGAAAATAGTGTCATCTGTGCTGGTACCAGCACATGTGGCAGTGGAGGCAAAATGCCAGCTGGCCTCAGGCCTCCTCTTTTCTTTGTATTTTCCTCTTTCTAAACGTTATCAATCACTTGGGGTTTTGTTTCAGACAGTACACATCACAGACAATGTTCATTCACTTAAAGACCACCTGTTGCAAGTTAAAATAAATATATGTGTAAATAAATTTGAAAGAGAAAAAGTTAAAAGCTGTCTATGGAAAAGACCTGTGCACCAATTTAAATGAGGCTTATGCACAAATAAAGGAACTTGGAGAAACTAAAACAGAAACATTGTTAGGACCAGCACTCCAGCCTGCACCCTGGAGGCCACTGAGCTGCATAATCTCATTATTGTTATTCCTGCCTTTACATTTCTTCATTTTGTTTGCTATTTACTCGAGATATCTGTATTAAACTCAAATCTTCTGAAGGTATCAAAATGAAATTGGGCTAAGCCAAGGCAATCATGACCAGCTAGAGAAAGAGTAACTGTTGTTTTTAACTATGCATTTGTCTTCTGAGGGCTGGAAGCACATCCCATGTCCCTGAACACCACCAGCAAAATGATCCCTTCATCCCAACTGCACGGTTTTTTTAGGTATGAGAAAAAGACAAATACAGTGTGAATAATAGCAGCTGTATTCCCAAGCCTAGACATCAGCATTACACAAAACCAGAGGTCTCTGCTCCTAATTAAAAAGCAAAGCCACCAAAACTCATTTAGTATGTGTGTTAATTACATGAGATTTTGGTAAGGAGGTATCATTATAATAGCAGCATACAAGTGCAGTACTACACACCAGGGACTGTCATTAGTGCCACTGAAGGAAGGATCACTGGGGAGTTGTGTAATTGGACCAAGTCCAGCTGCCTGGGGCTGTGTGTTGGCAGGCAGATCCATCAGCCTGAATGCAGAGGTGTTTATCCTGACCCTCCCTCTCCTGCCACATGCAAACCAGCTGCCTGCATGATGCCTTCATTTAGGGTGGTGATTGACAGATAGTTCGAGGCCATAGAAATAGGCAAGACTGTCAAATACTCTTTCTATCTTTTGATTGTTTTGCTCAGTAGAGAAGCTTTATACCCTCATTAATAAATTTTCAGTGATGTGGTACCGGGGCACTTTCTGATTAGTCTGAAGGATATGATAAAGGCATATTGGAGCAGATAAAAGTAACTCCAGTCAGTCTCTTTCGAAAATTCTGTTTTCAAAACCACCAAAAAGCAGCTAGAGCTGAGTCCAGCCTCACAATCAAGTTATTGTGCCCGAGTCACTACTGCATGTCAGCTGAATGGTGACAGTGGTTCACGTGTGCTCGTCACTTCTGACAGAATAGAGGGAATTTGACATATTCTACAGTGGGCAAAGGCAATTCCATTTCCCTCTCCAGTGCCACAGGAGAGCACATGCAGCAGCAGCTGGTGACACACTGAACACAGCAACTCGATCAAGTCAGTCATAAATAACTTCTCTGGTCTGCAGAGACAGGTAGACAGGGAGGAATTCTCTTATTGACAGAGACCCAAGCACTGCCCCATCACAGCACCCACAGTAAAGTCTCTGTGAGGAACAGAAATAAAGACTCTACAGGAGCTCTGGCATTTGAAGTAATGCTTCTCTTTCCAAAAACCAAACTCCTGGCTGTGATAGTCAGTGACTGACTCTCTTGCCTGAGTACTTTTTCCACCCTTCTCCAGAGCAGAGTTTTCCCTGCAGGGACCATTGTTTCATGTAAGCACAGGGACTAATGAGGCTGAGCAGCAGCAAATCAACCCTTTAAAGCAGGAGGCAAATGGGGCTGCAGGGGGTGGCTGTCCCTTTGCTGTGCCATCTCCTGGAGGCTCCTGCTCCTTTCCAGCCCCACCTGTGCTACAATCCCGTCCCTCTGTGTGTTACAGACAACTTCACAGCGCTGTGTGACTTCCTGAACAATGGCTTCACCCCCCTGTTCCGTGAAAATCAGCAAGAGAAAACATGAACCACAATCTAAATAAAACCAGGGAAAGGTTTGTGGCATGTAAGTTAGATGTCTATTTTCACGTTTCTAAAGGGCACAGCAATATGGTTTTTGTAGCTGATGCTGCAGATTTGCACTTAAGGACCAAACAAGAGAGGAATACAGTTCAGGATGTCATGCCTTAAATATAAAGGAATATAAAAGAGCTGTAGAAAAAGCAAGGAGAGGAAAAGGCCAAAAGGATATCACTAATAGCCTTATTAGCAGGGGAATCCAAATTGATGCAGCCAGATTTGTACCCTCTGAGGTCTCAAGATCAAAGGAATGTGAACATAATGCAAAGCATGTCTTCTATGGAGTAAAACTGCATTTAGAAAAAAAATATTTTTGATACTAAGATCTGATGGGACTAGAGATGTTGCTGTTAGCCCTGACAAATTAAAATGGAAAGTAATCAAAACACCAAGTTGAAATTCGAAGACTTGAAACAGTAATGTGAATGCTGAGAGACCAGTGAAAGAGCAGTGCACTTAAAAGCAAGGGAGAAATCCCATCAAATGGCCTGCAGGATGCATTATACATTTCCACTTACTCTCTTGTGATAAGTTTTTAACACTTACCCACTGCTTCTTCTTGGTCTGGGAAATCAGTTGCTTGTGCTGACCTGCTAGTTTCTTAATTTCTTCTAAAAATTCTTCTTTGCACTTCTCCTTTACCTGCTTACATTTTCTGTCCATCTCTCCTTGTGCATTGGCCACAGCTTTATTTACAGCCTGCCTTTTCTCCTCTTCCATCTCTGTACGCAGCTGCAAAGACAGTCAGCAAAAGTCAAGGCATAGTTACTGGAATTAAAAGTGGAATTCTTATTTAAACCTCTACTCTTTAAACCTCTATTGTTGATGTGGGCAAGCATCACCTAATTAGAGATTTCTCCTTTTTAGGAAATAAAATTTACTCAATTAGAGATATAACAAAATCAGATTTAATCAAAATAGAAATGTCACTGTATTTCTACTCTTCTAGGCATCTACAATAACAGCTAAATAAGTTCTGTGCATATTTGCTCAATGATCAGTTTATAAATTTATTAATTTCTCTCAAATTTTTTTTCTTTTCTAAATCTACAACTGCATATAAATCTACAGCAAGTGAACAATGGAAAATACAAAATAGAACACCCCTGAGTTCACTAAGAGGTACTTTTAGTATTCATTGTCAGTGAGGTTCCTTTGCCCTTGCTTAGGTATCTAAATGTTTGGTATCTTAATCCTACAGGATTAACACTTGAACTCCTAGGTTCATTTCACAGTCCTTCATCCAGAAGGAAATTCATCTTATCTTAAGACAGGTACTTAAGAGAGGTCAGACAAATCATCCTCCAAACTGCCCTGCTCTCTCCAGCCAAAGGTGATCAGGTCAAGCTTAGACATTGAATTTTTAAGAGGTTATTATCAGATAAGAAAATTCAAACAAATTTCAGTGACCCTATTTAGTCTTTAGGCCAGAAGATGGACAAAAGAAGAATTATTTATGACTAGCAGTTAAACAATGACATTGTTTAGAATCACACTTAACAATGGAGAAAAAGGCTTAGGAAACAGATACTCATGAATGAACAATTCGTTTCAGTTTTGGATCACAAACTGATTTCACTGGACAAGAATCAAAAACGCCAAGAGTTTTCTCTTTAAAGTAGGTTTGCAGGTATAGAAATGGTCTAAAAAGCCATAATGGTGACTACTTTTATGTGGTCTCTTTTTCTTCATTTTGGTAAGAGTGGTTTTTACAAAAACAGAAAAGTATGTGAAAAAATCCCCAAAATTGCCTCTCCTCAACCCAGTGTAGGTGTTGTTCAACAAGTGTTACCTTTTCCACTGCCTCTCGCACAACTCTCTCCGTTTCTCTTTTGTGATCAGCTTTCATCCTGTCCTTGAAATCATTAAAGATTTTGGTGTATTTGTCATGGCACATGTTCTGACACACTCCATCATTACTGGTCTGGGTGCTCCGATGCACCATTTTTGGAGAAGAGGCACTTAACTTCTTGGTCTGAGTTGAGACTGAAACTTTTTCAATGGGCTGAGGCATTGTGGGAATTTCCTGGCTTGAACTTACTGCTTCAGTTTCAGGTTCTGGCTCCTGCAGAGAAAGAACAAACTTATAAATCAGATAACAAAATAGAACAAGTTAATCTGTTAACTTTTCAGTTCTCCCTGAAGAAAAAATGTTATGTGACTAATATCAGTGCAATTAATGTGAAAGGTGCCTGTTGAAGACCTGAAGTGCTAATGGGATGTGGGATCCCTGTAGAAAACCAACTTGAGAGTGGGTAGGCCCTTGGGTCAGGCTTTTCTGACTTCAGCCAGCTTCACCTCCCCAAATGTATGAAAAACCTCAGAGGCTGTGCTGACTCCTTGGGATTACTAGAGGTTTGCTAGAGATATTTTTCCCCCACAATATTTTCCCTAAAGAGATTGTAGTTGCATGCCCAAGGCTCCTGAATAGTTTTGGCAAACTCTGGGCTTACTCTGGCCCAGCAGGCTGCATTGGAGTCTGTGATATTCTACTGACTCCATAGAACTGCTGCAAAGATTGATTAGTACTTCAAAGGTCCTTTGAAGATGAAAGGCTAATGAGAGTCTACGCCTTGCTTCCAATAATATAGAACTAGACTTGGATGACCACAGAATCTCTGTAGAGTTACACAATTATCAAGAAAGAAGTCACTGTTACTGTAGTGTACTGTGCTGAATTTAGCTGCCTGTGTTATTGCAATGTAACATCAATTGCTCCTGCTCTTTAGAACAGATCGAAGCTATACCCCTGGAAATGCTTACTGCTATTTGAAGTGTCTGAAGACATAAATTTTTTTTTTTTTTTTAAGGTTAGATATTTTCATTTAGCAGTGTAGAGACAAAGCCTTGCTCAGGAGTGGACTTTGTGCCTGTCTGTGTGATGAGGCATTGCTCACACCATTCAAAAGGCTGACTATGTATTCCCTTTTGCAAACAATTACTCTCTAAGAGGTCACTGTGATTGACTTCTGGATCACTGATCAGAGCTAAGAAGGCAAATGTTAAGACATAAATACATGAAGCCAATTACAGCATTTGCTTGGCAGAAAACACAGTAAGAATGGCAAGACATCCTCCTGTAATCTCCCTACCTTGCACTCAAACAATTTGTGCCCCAGGGAGCACAGACTGTGTCACAGCCTCCATCCCTGACACTGCCTCCTGCAGCATCAGGTACAATGGGGAGGCAGATGCCAGGAATTAGGAGTGGCCATGTCCCTATTCCAGCCACCACAGAGAGCTCTGCTGCTACAGTACCTGCACCCTCCTCTGCAGTGGCATCCCGAGTCCTCTTGCAAGGAACGGGCATATGCACTAATTTTTCTCAGCGCTCCTCAGGCAGCTGGAACAAGGCCAGGAAAAAGTCCTTGGTGGTTCGGGAATAGATTTACGGCTCTCTCTGTAAGTGCCCCCTTGTGTACACGAGCAATACCGCAGCCCTTGGCTCCCTGATCCTGCAGGCGGGACACACAGGGAAGCCCCGCAGACAAAGTGGATAAGGAGTTCATAAACTTCATAGTCTCGATTGCACTTCCTCATTTCTGCTGTTTATAGACTTACTGATATCCTGAATTTGTTATTAAACAAGAAATGTTGTAAGCTGACTTGCTTTATTCACGATACAGAATATTCCCATGATGACACACATTACTTGCATGTGGGAGGCACAATTACATTGGTTAGCAAGGAGTACCAAGCTGTGGGGCTGGAACTTCCAAGACTAATACTGCAACATCACTAACAGGCGACTGAAATTGAGGGAGCATCTATTAAAATTTCAGACTTTTTGACCTTTGCTCTCTCTACAAACACAGTAATTGAGGTTACTCACTTCTTTCTTGAGCTCCATACTCTGGTTACGTCGTCCTTTCTTTGCTCTTGGTTCCTGAGTAACCTTCAGCTGTGAACATTAAGAAAAGCGTATTAAATCAAATAACCCAAAGAACAGTTCATGTGGCTTTCATTGTAACATCATTTGCCTTTTATTGTGATTATTTGCAATTATTTAGGGTATCAAATAGAAACGTTAATTAAATGTTCTTAAATGAGAAATGCACACAATAAACTTTCTACATTATCACTGATGACTATGACTGCACGAAGGAACAAAATTAATGAACAAGTTCTACCATTCAATATGCACTCACTAAAACAGTCTTAACCATTCCTTTCTTCATTGCACACACAAGTTCAAACATTTGTTTTCTGAGATATTCTGATATCAGTGACCCACACTTAGAAATCACGTCTTGTTGGATGCCAGAAAATACCAGAGATTATAAAGAGAATTTAAGTATGTAAATATGGTAAACTGGAGCGGTATGGAACTTTATGCTTTAGAATAAAAGTCAATCTCACAGTAGAAGCAAGGATGAGATCTAAGTGGATGGTAGTTATCTTACAGTGCTTGTAGAGAGGTTCTTATGCCTGCTTTTGAAGCATGCAGTACTAGCTAGTATCCTATTACTACTACTAGTTAGAAATAGGATATTGCAGACTACAGCAAAAGAGTGAGTTTGATGGCTACTCCTGTGTTCCTGTATCTGGAAAAGCAGTAAAACAGATAGAAGCATTAGCCAAGTCAAGGATGAAGAACTGGCATCAAAGAGAAAATATGTAAATGGACACTTCAGACCCTGTGACTGACACTTCTAAAAAAATGGGAAAATACCACTTATCTTTTATTTGTGACCATTTTCCTGTTTTAACACAGGCTGTTGTATGACTGCACACAAGACTTTAAATAAAGGGGCTACAAAGGGTTATCAAAGCAAACCAGACTAAAAAACCCTAAAACCATTTTGATAAGGAACAACCTCTCACCATAGCACAGAGCTTTATAAACGTTTAAGTTTTTAGTTCCAAATTGGGTGATAGACTTGTTTGACAAAAGGATGAAGGAAGAGGGTCAAAACAGACCAATTTTTTTTTAATACAGAGTTTGAGCAAGGATAGTGGTTTTAAATGAGGAAAGATGTTACCAGGGAAAGGGCTGCCAAAAATACAGAGAAAAATCTGCAAACTATGAAAATCTTACTGCCAAGTCACTACTAGTGAATATATAACACCCTCTTGGACAATGAATGATTAGTAAAGATCAGCTCTGATAAGGGAATTTCCATGTGGAAATGCAAAGATTTGGATCTTGGCCATTTGTGGTCTTTGTTAAAACTATATTTATGTAATATGTAATATTTCTTGTTTTGCAGAATTATTTTTATTTGCTTTAATCAGTTGCTGGTCACGTGGTCCTCAAGTGCAACATTTGCACTTAACTTTAGTTGGACTTGCTGAAAATGTCATGGCTGGTGTTACTTGTGGATCTGAGGGCAGAATAGAGCTCAAAGTGAACATACTCCAGCTGTGCAAAGGCTGAGCAGCTACAGGGCTGTCCCTTGACAGGGCTCCAAGAAGGCAGTGTTGCAGTCCATCTGATATCTGTGACATTTGACTTGAACATTCCTATTTAACTTTAGAAATCTTGATCTGTCTCATCAAGGTGCTGTACGTGACAAATGCTTTGAAACTTCACAAAGGTCATCCAAGAAACTGAGGAAAGAGGAAAATCTATATTCTTGCTATTACTGAGCTATGAAACATAGGGAGAATAAGTCTTTGAACCCTCTTGTCATCACAAACCTGCAGACAGAGCACAAGGCTAATTTAATAGCACATTAATCAAAAACACATCGTCTTTGTACTTTTTAATGAATTGCCCTGATTGCTACTATTGTAGCAGCACTCACTTGCTCATTGCTAGTGGAAGAGATGCTCGACTCTGCCTCCTCTTCCCCTTTGTCCTCATTCTTTGATTTCCAGAATCTCCCCTCACGGAGAAAACGCTGGTGCAGTTCCAGTTCATCACAGGCTTTCTTCCATCCCATGCTGCGTTTCACGTGCAGCCGGTGGATGTTAACTGTGATGTCTTGAATGTTTTCAGAGGGGATCCAGGCCCTTTTGAACACACAGTACAGACAGGTTCAGAAACATTAAATACAGGTGAAGGATCTCGACCTGAGAAACCGACTTCAAAAGCAGGTTTTCACAACGGCCGATCACTGACAATTCCTTTTTACTTTGATTTTTTTTTTAAACTCAACACATCTAAAAAAAATGGACTGCATGCTGTTAGACATTTTTGTTATTATAAATACTCGTGAGCTGTTGGCACTATGGCTAAAAGTATCTCTCATTTTTGATGAGCCACAAACCTTCCCCAGCACCATCTCTTACCTGCTCTCTTGCTAAATGGCCCGACTCAGACACAGAAACTTTTTTTCACTGGAGGTTTATATGCTAATCAAATTTAGCTCTTGACCTCTTTCCTAAAATTGTCAAGGAATGCACCAACTCATCAACTTGAGTAGAAACATTGTGTGTTCTGGGCCCCTGTCTATCAGGACTGAACTTCCATGGGGACTGTCATGCTTCTTTGGACTGAATTCATGCCAGTGACATGGTTCCAAAGTTACCTTGTCCTCTTAAGTGTGTTCAGAGAATCCTCAGAGAGTTAGATGGGCAGGTCTCAATATTTTGAAAGGTTATACCAAGCACCAGGCAACATTGGACATTAAAGATACAGAGTCACTTATATAGCCATGCACATCTGCCTAGTAGATTAAATACTCAACAAATGGCATGTTTGTGAAAAGATTCTTGATTCTTGCAATTTAAATTTAATTTGAGTAACGATAAAGAAACAATGCCAATTTACACCACCAGGAGTTTGGCCTTTTGTCCAAGTCCAGCACAGTAACTAAGCAATGGCTCTCTAATTAAACATCCTTTGCCTTTCATAACAGCACACATTTAAGAAGTTGCAAGCACCTCATCCCACAGGTGCAAGGTTACTTTATTAGGTAATTTTGCACTGCCTGAACTTAAAGCCAAAGATTACTAACAAAATAAACTGTATTCGTAAATAGATTCAAGGTAAAAAACATTCTGTGACTGAGGCATCAGTAAAGATCCTTTACTCACTTTATGACCACTGGAAAGTCTTGGTAGTTCATATAAAAAGTGAAAAGATGTTATACACTGTGCAAGTTACATGAAGGCAATTTAAATAAACAGTAACCTAAAATACTGGTACTGAATTGTCTAGGCCCTTTTGGAATGCATCAAAATATATCATCTCCCAACAGCCAGGAATTACTTTGGAAATGTCTCCTCTCCTCACATTATAGGCATATAAATAAAACAGTAAAAAAATCCAAACCAGCACCATAACACTGCTACAAACCTCCCCAAATGCTGAACAACCAGCTGGAGAGAGAACCAAAAGCTCATCTCTAAGAGTCAAGTTTCCAATGTAAAGAGAGATTCTCTGAAACTGCAAACTGGCTCGCAGCAGGAGGCCTGTCAATGTTCTAGCAGTGAGGCACAAACATTTGTAATATATATCTTGGTACTAAACCACAAAATTGTAGTGCCTCAGCTCAAATGAGAAATTGCTTGAAGTCAATACTGCTGGTAGAAGGAGTACATTTCTGTCCAGTTTTCACCTTGGCCTGGATTAGCAGACTGCTATATATTTGAAGAAACAGTTGAAGTTCACTTACTGTCTTTAATTAAAATGGCATTAAGGAACATGCTTCTGGCAACTGTGGAAAGAGAATCTCTGAGCCACTGAATTTGGACACTTCAGATGAGCCAGACTGAACTTTAAATTCTATGAAACAATTATGGCAAAGTATTCAGTATTTCTAATGTTGGCAACAAGCTGAGCCTGGATTTACAGCATGACAGATGAGATAAATTCTTTTAATATTGTTTGTAAAAAGCAGCACATGGAATTAATAAATTACCTTTGGTGGTGATGGCCAAAAAAGCGAACATCAACTTGATTGTCCTCTTTCTGCATGACTTTGGCTGGCCAAAACCCAAAGCCTTTCATTTTGGCCCAAACCAATTCATGATTAGGTATCTGGAAAAAAAAGTTGTATTTATTAGTGGATATGAAATATTATATTGCTATCTCCCACAAATATTCTGCTGCAATACTATGCTAGTATCTTAAGAGTATGATTACTGTTTGTGTCTAGTGCTATTTTCATTTTTATCTTCTTACAATACATTTCCTTTTTAGATAGACTGCTTGGATCAATGTAAAAAAAACGCCAAAACTACAAAGTCTGGAAAGAGTATAACTGTCTATTGAAAACAGAGATCTTAAGCAGCCTAAAAATTAACTTGTCTTTCTAGCTTCATTCAGGAGCAAGGTTTTAGTTCTGTAAGCTCCTTATTTTCTTGTGAAACTGTTGTAACTGGCTGATACCCAAGTTTTATAACCTATATTGTTACAGCTTTGAACTTCAATCAACACTCCACTTGTGTAAAATATCCAGGCTTACAGAGTCTTAACCATGCTTTTGAAACAAGCCTCCTGAAATGGAATATTCAATGCATTAATGACACCAAAACTGCAGGCTTTCATACAGAAAAGCAAACAAATAAAAATCTGTGTCAGCAACATACACAAGGGTAGCAGAACCAATTGTCAGGTCGTGCGTTTGACAAATAGAAACAGTTCTTGCAAAGCTGCAGTTCATCCAGCTGAAAAACAACAAAAAAAAAGGTAAATAAGCAAGAAAAATCCTATTTATGTGATTTCAGAAGCATGCCTCTCCCTTAGGTAGTAAGATTTTTCAGCCCTGCTTGCAAATTTGGTGGAGTTATTTCCATCCATGCAAACTAAAGGTGTGAAACCGAGGTGGCCTGGGAGAGGCTGAAAGACAACCTGAAGAAACATTATTCCTGTTTCAGAAAATCCAGGCAGAGGGAGAAGACTAATTGACATATTAATGATCTATTATAGATGAAATGCAAAGAAAGTTCTTAAAAATCATCAAATATTTAAAGTACATTGTGAAAGAAGTAATTCAACTGTACAAAAGAAGAAAGTGTGCCAGCTCCTCAGCTGTATTTTTAAGTCTCTTCTGAATGTGGTGAAATGTTTGGATGACAATTACAGAATTCAGAAGGAATCTCATTTCAGATTCAATTTATATTACTAAGTACAATTATTTCTAGTCCAAATTTGTATTACTCAATTATTTTCAAAACTAAAATTTGAATATTAATGTTTTTAAAATTATGATCTGGTTGCAAAAAAACCCCAAAAAACCAACAAAACCCCAACAACAACAAAACCCAACCAACCAATAACAAAAACCTAAAGAAAAAGAAAAAGGAATTCTGAATCAGCTGCTAGACTGTCTGGAGGAAATTTATAACTCAATTTCACACACTTTTTATTTTGTAATATGAAGAATAATTTCTTAGAATCTGAAATAAAAATCAAGTATCTTGACTACATCTTGGTTGCTTGGTAGTACTTACTTCATGGCAGGTGTCTTTATAAAGCATCCTTGCTATATCAGCTTGTTCACTGTCCGCTATAAAGTAAAAATAGATGGTATAAACAATCACAGTATGATCACAATGCTCACAAAGACTTGCAGCTGTCATTGCTGTGACTTTCATGCTGTAATTGTTGTGCTTAAGAAGACAAAACATAATTTAATCACTTGGACAGCTCTTCCATTTAAAATTTTCTAACAATCAGTTCAATATTTGTTTTCTGTGTCATATTTATATGCCACAATACTGCTTTTACACTGAACAATGCAAGCACACATCTGAGGAGGAGCAGCAGCAGGGAGACACAGTTGCTCTTAATATGGAATCAGTTCCTTTCTCTGCTGGTGTCTTAATGGCACATTGCAGTTGTCCTAAAACATCTCCTCTCTGCTCTGGGCTCTGAGTTTACACCCTTGTAAACTCTCTTGGCATATTCACATCTCTTCCCCACCAGCCACAGTGTGAATCTCCAGGGGCTGCAACCAGACTGGTGCCACCCTTCTCCCAGCCTCCCTGATGGGGGCCACATCTGCAGGGCAGAACCACATCCTTCCTGAAATGCTGGCTCTGGAAAACAGAGCCTGGCTACAGCTTCTGGACATGGTGGAGGTGTTTTTTGACTTCCAATCAGTCACTCATTACCTTCCCAGCACCTGGCAGCTTCTCTGATGGCTGTACCTCCACACTGCACCAGCAGCACACTCCTGGTGTGGATGTAGCTACATTTGCTGTCCCAGTATGGCAGATATTGCCCAAAAGTAAAATAAATATGTCTATAGTACCTGTTTCTGCTGACACAGCACAGAAAACCCTACCCTACCCTACCCTACACCCTAGGAAAACATATATATACTGGCAAAAATCTGCAGTATGGACTGACTTAGGACTTTGCTGAAGAAGAAGCAGGATGGCAAAAGGGTAATTTTCACTAGAGGTTTAGCCAGGGAGGATGAAAATAGTTCTGTAGTAGGCGGACAAGAAAAGACCCTAAAAAGTCCTTATGCACTTTGATTTTTAAGAGCTTTCAAATTACCTCATTCACACTTAAGACTAATTAATACCAAATTCATCCTGGATTTGTGAGTTTCCAACAAATAAAGACAAATCAAACAAGGCAAGCAGTAAATGCAGTATTTTACCTCCATAGAAAATCACTGTGTTGTGTAGAAGCAGTTGAGCATCTGCTTTGAATTCCTCATAACTCCTGTACTTTCCTTCATTTACTTTCTACACAAAAGAAAACACAAGACTGTGAGAAAACTCTTCAAAATGCTCTACCTGCTTTATGCAGAGAAGCTCTCATAGAAATCTACATTATGCAACACAGATCAGACACTGCTTTTCCTGCATACAAAATGAATACTTACAACTCTTTGACATGGTTTGTTAGTACTTGAGCATTGGCTGCCCTTTATGCAATGCCCAGAAATAAAATAGATTCTTTAATACTTGATCAAGTTTAAAAAAGATTTTCCTGGTTGTAAGAAGGTGAATCTGGAGTAGCTGCAGCACAATGTGTGGCCCAGAACATTTGTTCAAACTGAAATATGATCCCTCGGGTGAACATTTTGTACCTTAAAATATCAGCTAGTTTCAAATCAGTGCTGACTGCCTTTCAGGACTGAACTTCCAGGATCTTCACTTGATAGTCTGTGTTATCTGATGAAAGCTGATTGTCTCAGTCTTCCAAACTCATAAAAAAAGCCTACATGGAGCCATGCAATTAATTTTCTGAGTATGGCTTTGTCCAATAGGGAATGCAGAGTTTTCAGTTGTGCTCTCTCAAGAACATCTATGACAATTCCAATCATTAAACAAAAAAAACATCAGCTTATAGAATGCTATCAAGGCCAAAAGACCTTCTATGGAAGCAGGAGAAAGTTGACAGAGTGAAAGGAAGGCCTGACCTATTTTCAGGCTCATTGTTGCCAGCACTTCTAGAGAGGCAGCAGTGCTGGTCTCCAAGACTGTCAGTGAAGCTATTGTTTATCTATGCATTTTAATAACAAAACAAAGGCTCTTCACATCTGTGCTTGTAAAGGTCAAGATATACCACAGCATTGCATAGCAATCCAGTTGCAGGAATGAGTAAAGATGAATATGCTGTTCATTATGGTCATGTGCAGTTGATTTATATGAGTCATGATCAGACCTTTGGTTCAGAAAAAAGGGAGAATATATTTATTAGTACTTTATTTTTGGAACAATTAATGCAAAACAGATGTTTTAAGTGAGTCTGGTTTTTCATGATCAACAAAGTGATTGGTTCTTTATGAATCATTTAGATATTTATAAAGCTGACACCCACATAAGGGCATAATGACTGAAATCAGAATATGGTCAAAAAACATTGGGCCAGAGAAGCACACATAGGCGTCTGAGTCTATATTCATCCATTTACTAAAGCAGTACTTTCTCTGAAGATTTTAGCTACATGCAGATCCTAGTATAACCTTAGTGCAAAAGGAATTGAGGATACTCTGTGTCTGAAAACTAGGCACCACTCAAAATGCTTTTACTCAATTACCTATTTATGAGGGAAAGTTTGACATTTTAGCTTCCATATCTAATTCTGGATGCAATACTGAAATACTGATCATAATGAGAATTAAACAGGATTAGGACTTTTTAGGCTTCCATATTAAAAGACACCAAAACCAGTGTAGAAGTTAGAAAGCAAGTCACTCTACCTCCTGTATAGTAGGAACATCAACAGCTGAGTGCACCAGCCTTCGATACATTGGGTGTTTGTTGTCCTTCCCTTTCTTGTTTAGATCTATAGCCTGAAAGGACCATGAGACAGTGTTTGTTATTGCATTTAGAATCTACTTAAAACATATAAAAGAGGATTAGAAAATGCAATAAGTTGGAATATTTCAGGTGGAGACTACACAAGGGCAACCTGGGGATCCACAACCACGAGATTACGTGTGTCTCAAACCTGACAGATGTCTGAGGAGCCACAGGCCCATGGCATAACCTGGTGATACTGATCCAAACCACAGTGCTTATGACAGGAGAAATAAAAAACACCCTCTTGCAGCCCTCCTCCCTGCCCAGTCACACGTGGGCAGCCATAATGATGCTCAACACTGAACAAACAAACCTCTCTGTCAGACTCACCCGCTCCTTCATACGAGACACTATGAATCGCAGGTATGTGCTCATCTCTTGTTTACTCGTGTTTTTCTTCTTGATACTCTGCCAAAGAAAAATGGGATCATATTACTACTTTAAACTTGACTTCAAAGTCCAGCCAATAAACATTTTCTCTGCATTAACACTTGATTTGAAAAGGTAACTTTGAATCACATAAAACACTATTTCTTAGGGAAAATCTTTTCTGGGAAATTAGTAACACTAACACGCCACAAGGACTATATATGTTGCTTTGAATTATGTCTGGGCTGAGAACTTCAGCTACTGAAATATTACAGGTTTTATTTCCTCTTGTATCCATAATAGTTTGTCAAAACCTCTCATTAAAAAAGTGCCTAATTAGAATAAAGCAAAGAAGAAAGTCATTTTAGGGAGCAGCTAAAAATTTATTTAATGGTCTTTTTATTAGCAAGGCATTAATAATTTTAGTAAAATAAGAAATAATTTAAAAAATAATATCCTGTACCATCTACAAATTATGTGCTTACTAAGCAAAATGACACCATGTGGGAGGAAGACAAATTGGCTCTAGCCAGCAGAAACAGAACACTTTTTACTGCCCAAGAAACATAGCAGTCTGGGATTTTTGTGGTTCTTCCTTAACGAAATTTAATCCAGATTCTGGAATACAGATCACTACTTTCTAGCAGTTCAAGATCCAGAGTTTTTTCCTCTCATGTTAGACTATAAAAAAGACTTATCCCCACCCTTTAAAGTATAACCAGGCTAGTGGGAAGCCCTGCATACCAAAAAATGTGCTGCTAAAGAGAAGGTGTCTGTGCAAATGCCTGATGTGCTCTTACAAAGCAGCCTTTCCAATCCCAGCTCACAGCAGCTGTGCACAGCTCTGCATGGCCCTACAACAAACAGCTGGCTGGAAAGTGCTACCTGCTCCCTGCTTTTACCTACAGCAGCTCTCCAAAACAAAAGCACAGTGAAACAACAGCATGGGTTCCAGGCCTATTACCCTGAAGTGTTTCTAACTGCTCACATCTCCTGCAAGGCATTCACTCCTCCTCAGACCTCCTCGTGCACTGATTGCCAGGCTGAGTTCTCCCTTCTCATGCCTCATTTCACCACTTGTGTGCAAGCTGTGTGGACAAAACTGTCTCAGTTACACCTGGATCCTCAAAATCTGATGGTCTTTAGCAAGATCCACATAATTGTGCAGATGATGGTTGCTTAGCAAACACTAGAAAAAAATGAATCCATGCTCTAATAGGTAAATAAAAGAGGCTTAAAAATTATCAGTCACTAGAAGTGTGCTATTTTTCATTGAGTTACTTATACACCACTCTGGACATAGGGAGCACACACATTGAGTACAGAGCATCTGCTTTTACAAATTTACTTGGCAAGAGTAAAATTAAATATTAGCACAAAAAAGCTGATAGGATTTGATTGTGTGTCCCCTGTTTATATTCCTCCTGCAAGACACTAAGGACACTGAAAACCACAGGCTGTTCCCCTGTGCTACAGCAAGCTTACAACCTATACATCTCAGGATTGTACTTACTATCTTTCTGGAAACAAAACTGTACACAGCACTACCTGCAAAGCTGCTCATCTGATTACTTAACAGCAATTAGAATCGTTCCAAACTGTGCTGAAATACCAGTTCAGTCACAAACCTACTCAGATACTGCATTGTGCATAACAACACAACAGCTTCCCCCTGACTGGGAAATACTCTGCTGTGGAAAGGGCCAGCCCCAGGTATTTCTAATACCTACAGTTCCTTTAAGCATTATTTTCATAATATTAATGGTTGCCTGACCTTCCTCCCAAACTCTGGACTGACAGGGAATTTATCCCGCACTATATATCTGAATCACATTCTCTATATTCATATTTCACCCTGACTGCTGTGAGAACGTGCATTCTGCTGGAATTCCAATCACCTACTCAGTTTCTCATAAACCAACATTGCCACTGCAAATGAAAACCCAAATGTGCATTAAATTATCTGCATTATGAAACACTGCTGTCATTTTGTCATTTCAGGCACTGAAGTGCTGTGTGCTTGCTAATGACACAGCATTTTGAAAGACTGAAACTTATAAGGACACAATAAAACTCACATGCACTGACTAGTCCTACACCTCTTTTTCTGACATGGCTCTGAATTTATCAGCCTTTGAAAGTATTTCAGAATTCATGTGAATCATTTTTCATGCCCTGCTGGGCAAGACAGTTTGAAAGAGACTGTTGAGATAGATGGTTTACAGACCTATCCTTCAGATCATAAGAAAAGATAGATAGCTGGCTTTGTATAGTTATTGATGTCAGCAATTAATGCCATCTTAAGCACCAATGAAAATGATATAATTAACTTGCCAATTCTGGCAAACTTTAATTTTTCTACTTTCCCTTCAATTCCCTACACTGATTTATTTTAAGAAAAACTTGATCTCCATGTTCCTCTACTAAATTTTGAAAGGTAATAAATTTAGGGAATTGGAACCTATGAGCCAACAAAATGTCTTTTTATGGCAAGGTTGCTCAGCCTTTGTAGATAGCAAGTTACATTTGAAGCACTTCGTTCACTTTTCAACAATAATTAGCCATTTAGGAGGTAGCATTCACACATTCTTTGGATGTTATAATGGAAGATGTGTACGTTTTTTTTTAAAAAAAGCCCTCCTTTGTATTTTGAAGATTTGTAGTGCTCCCAGAGAAGTCAACCTAGAGTCACTTAAAGCAAGAAAATAGATAATACTAGATGGGGACTATGATTTGCATAAAATCTATTTATATTTCTCACTTTCAGGTCCCCTTTTTAGGCAGAGTGATATAGAAGCAAATATAAATGAAAATTAGGTCTTCTAATTTCCTACTTTCAGGAAACAAAAACAATGATACTGGCAAGATCCACTATCTTTTCCCTGTCAGATCTACTAAGATACTCTACGGGAAACCTTGTTCAAGTTCAAGTTTGTTTCATGGAGACTGCTGAGATTCAATCCAGCCCCCAAAATATCAGGATCCTTATTCTTTTAGATAGCCTATTTGTGGGATAAATTATCTTAATATAGGACTGTACCAGGTCTGGCTGGGATGAAAGCATTTGTCTTCACAGCAGCTCATATGGTGTTGTGGTTTAGATTTGTGACCAAAACAGTGTTGGTAACACATAGATGTTTTAGCTCTTGCTGAGCAGTGCTTGCACAGCCTAAAGACTTGGCAATTTCCCACTTTGTCCCCACAGTGAATAGATTGGGGAGTACACAAGAGGTTGGGAGAAGACACAAGGCAGAAAACCTGAACTAACCAGAGAGCTATTCCATGCCATATAACCTCATGCTCAGCAATAGAAAGGAAGAGGAGGGGGCCTAGGGGGAATTTAGCCATCTTTAACTCAGGAGCTGTCTGGGCATTGATCTGTCCATGAGAGTGGGGAGTGATTGCTTTTGCACCACCTCTGTTTTGCTTTCTTTCTCAGCTGGGAGTTGAGGAGACAGGAGAGAGCAGCCATGTGGTGCTTAGCTGCCTGCTGGGGTTAACCTGCAACATGGACAATTGCTAGGTCACAGCATTGCTTCAGAGAAATCTGCAAACCTTCTGCTTTCAATCAAGGTAAACTGAAAGACTTGGTCATGCCGATGTGTTTACACAAGGGATGAAGGAGTGAAGCAATAACCTTCACAATAGCAATCCTCATGTAGAAGATTAATGAGATTTGGTAGGTGAAAGGCCAAGCCTGCAGCCTAACTCTTTTCTTGGGAGTGCAGGAAATACCTTATATGCCTCATTCTCTGCAGCACATCTGTTTCTTCTGGTACCTGAAGGTTACATTGCTCTTTATATTCAATATTCCAGATTAATTATACTGCCTAGCTGTTCAAGAGGGTAGCAATATATTGCACCATGCAGATGTGACTTATTTAGAAATTCTGACATAGTGCAAGATTTCACTGCAAGACTTTACAAACCACACGAGCCTAGAGAAGCCAGGGGCACTTCCAAGAAACACTCCATCTGCAGTAGCACCAGGGATGATGGAAGTGACAAATCTCTGCTCTCTGAGTTAGCTCTCTACTCCCAAGGTGGCAGTGGCCACTGTGCTGCAGTTGCTGCAGTATCTCATTTGAAGAGAAAAAAATAGGAGAAAACTCTAAGGAATGCAAAGTGTCAGAGCCAGCATTCTGTCTAGCTATAAGCATTTAAATTACATTTGCACCGTTTACAGAGGGTTCCCTTTCTCTATAATCTCCCATTAATGAATATTTTTCCCTTCCTCTCTCACCTGTCCTGTGTATACACACATCAAAGAGCTGCATTTCAGTTCAGTGATGGATTATGTGAAGGCTGCTCAATGACAGATACATGTTTCTAAGGCATCAGCTGCATTTTCAGAAGCAATTCAGGTTTCCAGGAGTCTATTTTCAGAGGGGAACTATGAGTGTGAGTCTAACATACACTCACCACTGCTCTTTAGAAACTTTTTGCTTTACACACTGGCCTTTGGACTATTTGAGGGCTTAAATTGGCAGAGGAATTTGGTGCTACATATGGAAAGCTTTACTGCTCTGCTGCCCTCTCAAACTTGCAGCCCTCAGGTCCTCAGGTTTCCTGTACCATTAAGAAAGGTATGCAGGCACATGGAATGGGTCTCAGAGCATTCAGTGCACTGTGTGCCCTAAGTATGACACAGAAAAGCTTCTGCAGGAGCAAAATATGCCCTAAGACTTGCCTCTTTCATGATCAGATGCAGTACAATTAGACTTTTTAAAGCATCAGGTGCTTTTGGGAATGTTACAGCTGAATCCACAAATTGATTTCTACTTGTATGGTGCATTAAGCACATTATGAATATGAAGCATCATATGAATTAAATATGCTTTTATCTGCACAAAGAAGGTGGCAGGAGGCTCTAAGTGGAGGTTTCCCAGTTTTCTCACTGGGAAATTCCTTTATCCTTTATTCATTATGTCCCATGAGGGCCCAGTTCTGCAGCTCCCTGATTTACTCCAGGGTGCACAGGAGGGACTGGTGAGGACTAACATCTCACTGGGCACTGAGTCATGTGCTGCTAAAACTGGTCCTGCACTAGGACTTCCCTTTACCCACCAATCCATTATTATGGATATATATTATATCTATCTATATATTATTATATGTATTATATTATATATTAACTATTATTTGTGTGATCACACCAAGCATTGTTTCAATAATATGTTTCCCCATACAGATCTCAAACTCCTACCATATGAAATAAATCAATAAAGCCACATTCTTTCCTCCTTCCTTGTATTTTACATTAACCACCTTGACTGACAGCTGGTACCTGAACCCCCCTGATCTAAGCACTTGAGTAACTTCACTTAAGTAACCTCCATCTTCCCGTGCTTCTAACTTTCCACTGCTTGTCATTCTCACTTGTCAAATTTTGTCTGAAGTTGATTGTGAACTGCATAATGGTTTATTTTTTATGTACTCTAGGAAATGCTCAGTACAGTATGAGAACTCAGGAAAAAGCCTATTTATAGAATATTTATCAGCACTGTATTTAATATCTTAAGCTCTACAGATTACTTTGGTCTCCTATGTATAAACCTCAGGAATATTGAAATACCCACTATGATAGGTAAATTAGCTATTAAGTCCTTGCAAAGAACATGCATGGAACATCCAATCTCTGACCAGATGATTGTAAAAAAAGTTAGGAATCAAGTGAAACCACATGACTAATTCTTTCCTTCTGTTTAATGAATCAAAATCTATTTCTCTGGGACAAATAATACATCAAAATGCTTAATTTTGCCTTCTTATAATTTTTTTTAAATTTGGATTTTTAGACAAGAAATAATAATAGTCAGTTATACCAACGTGATCAATATTCTCCTATTCATAGTTTTGTATTTATCTATTCCCTCTCCAAAAAATTAGTATTTTGTCAGTACTTTTGTAGTCTTTAGGTATAAAATTAACAGCTGAAGAAAATTAATTCCCTAGTTTTATCTAACTGAAAAGCAGCAGTAAATGTACAAGTCTCCTACATCCTTCAGAGACTGAGCTGACTAACCCTGTCTGGAATGGACTCCTCCAGTAGTGAAAAATGTAATCTCTAAGCTCATTCAATATTAAGGTTTCTCTTGTGACCTGTCTACCAGGAATTTTGCTGATAATGCCAATTTATTTCACTTAAGACAATGATTAGTCAACAGTCAGGGAAAAATTTCAATCAGTGCAATGTGGTTTGAATTGAACTTTGTTTGACTTTTGATTCCTGCTGAGAGTTATATAGGGTACAAAAATATTTAGAGTGGTACCATCAATTTAAAGAAAGAAACAAATGAGGAACTGGACATTGTTGTTTATGGATGCAATGGAGAAAAACCACGGGCAGGCAAACAGAGTTCAGAACAAGATTTGAAAGGGATTCTTATAAATGATATGGGAGAAAAAAATTTTTTATGTTATGAACAAATCTTTAGCAATGGCCTTTATAAAGTATTTCTGAGTAGTCAAGCGTGCAAGATAAAGCTGCACAGATTGATCAAACTAATACAACCAGCAATTGTGAAATGAAAAATCCAAAGGCTTGCTGACCTTGGCAGCATTACAGAAGCAGTCTTTACATAAGAACGAAGTGTTCTGAGGTTATTTCTCCCATATATTATGTTTTAAACATACTTTTACTTCACCTTTGTAAAGAGCTTTGAAATCTCCAAGTGAAAAGTGCCGTGTCCAGTTATGGGATTAAATATGAAAATATATGTATCTCTTTGTCCCAGCTATCAATTTTCTTGAAGATACATATTTACTGCTGATTACACAATGTAAATCCCCCACAGCCCTCATGCAAGATGGTTAAGCTCTGTTATGCCCTCTGGACATCAGCCAGGGCTCTCTCCACATTATTAGTTTTTTGAATATAGGCCACTTTCTTGCTTTTAAAATGAAATTAGAGCAGTCATTTCCTAGGAGGGCGGGGACAAAATAGCAGAATACTGAAGGATGAATACTGACATAAGGATGCTGACTCCCACACTCACAGGGACTGTGCAAGCCTCCTTAGTCCAAGTTTGCAGAACTAGGGCTTGAAGGGATTTGAATTAACAACAGGAAAAATAGGAGCTGCTGGCACAGGGGGAGAAAGGATGCCATGGCACTCACAATGGCAATATCCACAAAAATAGGTTGATCATCACTTGAGGCACTAAGCAAGCCAAAAACCTCTGGAGCAGGAAGTATTTAAGAGCCCCCCAAACCTCGCCTTCATATTTGTATAACAAAAAAGGAACCAATATGCAGAAAGATAGGCAGAGAGCACATGGCTCAAGTTTCACAGGATTTTTTTTTTTAAGGTAAACATTTATTTAATATCATTGCCATAAAGGACTTCAAGGCTTCATGATGAAAGTCAAACTGTTCTCAAAGCTGACATATCAGAGCATATTTCAAGCAATGATTCAGCATTTCCACTCTGAGGACATCCATGCTACAAGATAGATGTTATGAAACCACCTCATACAAAAGGTGGCATAAACCATCCACATTCTCTACTTTCACCAGGCGTCATCTAAAATTCCTGGCAAACTAGAATGGAGACTGGATTCAGTTTACCTAATTTTAACTATTTATAGGAATTATCAATACTTCTAATAAGGCCCGACAATTATTAAAGAGATTTATTTAAAAATCTGAAAGTAATTAATCTATATATGGTCATACCTTTTGTTTTTAACAGAGGGAATATTGAATAGCTAAATTAAATGCTAGCAATTTAATAGGAAGAGATGCAGTATATGTCCTTATTCTTAGCAGTTTTTTCTCTGCCACTACTTCTTTTTCATTACTTATAGCTTCCTTGAGGCAGGCCTGATTTTCTTACTATTTCCCTAAACCCTGAGAGCTCCCAATCTCAGGGAACAGCAACAGGTTTTTTGGAACTCTTTCTAAGGTAACAGCAGTCAAAAAGTGCTGTTTTGAAACAAAACAATCCATGTGTTTTCAACAACTGCTTCCCCATCCCACAAAGTGCCTGAAACCTTACATTCCTTGCAGCACAGATCATCCTAAGGTCAGTTTGTTGCTCTTCAGCTAATCCAAGCTTTTAGCAAAGGAATTCCCTCTCTCTGCAGCAATCCTAGGCAGAGTGGAACTGGCAGTTTTTATGCCTTTCTGTAGCAACAATTTTATTTGAAACATTCATATGCATTATTCCTTCCATAGGAAGGGAGCCTAGCTCTGTAGGAAGCCTGGTGAAGTGCTCCATTTGGGGAGGTGACACAGAGATGACAACAGCAACAGGTATTTGGCTGATTCAAGTCTGGGTACCAGTAAGCACCATCCTGACCAGAATGTTTAATCTTTAATGATATGTAGACAATATATCTGCCCATTCTTGGAAAGTATATAAGAAATTCTTTTTGCTGTCTCCCAGCCATACTCATAAGAATAGCATTTTTAAAGAAAAAGCAACATAGATATGGATGTCATGAGTGAAATCCAGATTGCCCTTTTTGCACCAATAGAATCCACATCAGCAAATGAAAAGCAGGATTTAACTCCATATTTTTGATACTAGCCTAATCAGTAACATGATTGTGGCTTTATAACACAAAATACCATTTCAGTAAAATATTAAGAATGCAAGTCATCAAAATACAAAAATGATTCATTAAAATGACATTAAGTAAACACAGTAGCATCTTATACAGCAATTTGTTTACTCTTGTTGAAGGTTCCCACACTTTACTGCACTCAGGTGCACTCATTCTGGCACAGGGTACTGTGCAAGTAAAACTTGCTGGAGTCTTCAAAAATGGCCATCTGCTGCAGGCACCACATTTTGGTACCTCTGCACAGATGCTCTAGGTATGTACCATCATTTCAATATTCAATTCTTTACCCATTAACCTGGCCAGACCATCTGGACACCTTAATAAATCTATTATTGAATATCAATCCTCTAATCAGCACATGAAATCTCATAGGTACTCACCCTGCAAACTGGGCACTGCCAGTGACTACTGCTGTCTCTAAGCCTGAACTCATCAGACAAACACTTGGAATGATACACACGAAAACACAGGTCACATATCAACACCTCTCCAGGCAAATGGCATTCAAAACAATACCAGTCATGATTTTCTGTTTCCCAGTCCTACAAAAAATACAAAATATTTTGGTATGACATTCTGTCAAAATCTGCAGGAATTAAGAACAAAATTGATATGTCTTGAAATCCAGCAGCAATTAGACATTATAAACATTTTAAAGAAGTGTATAATGTTTAAAAAAACGGGAAAACCTATGTGCTTAAAGATCTTCATCAATTTAATACACACTAACTCCAATAGAATATGAATGCCAAGTTTTAATTTTTTCAAGTGTCTGATTAATTACAATTTCAAATATGAACTCTGTCCACAATGGAAAGTGGAGGTTTTTTCTACCTTTGTGTCAAATGTTTGTTGACCTCTCTGTATTAGACTGCAAACAAAAGTTTGTGCACCTCAACCATACCTATTTTCTTGGACTACTTCCCTTAGTTTGATTGTTACATTTTATATTTTCAACTGTAATTTTCTGAAGGATGGTCCCTTCCAGTCTTTACTCTCTTAGAACTGACAAGTTTTCAGCATCGAAGTGTTGAGTTACAAGAAATAAATGATATCATGAACCAATTACAGCAAGAAATGTTTCTGCTAAGCAATCCCAATGCAATTAAAAAAATACAAAATATTTCACTTGCCGTGCTCAATAGCACCGGGCTCATTCCTGAAATGTTCTACAGAAGACAAGGATATGGTTCTGCTGATGCACAGATGTCTTTAATATATTCTTCCTTGAAAATTCACCCCCAACGGCCAAATTCTGACCTTTGAAACATGTGCACAAGCTTTGTTGAAATAAATGAGAGCAGCATGCATATAATTTGGAGGCAGAATTTTGCTCTAGGAATCTATAGTTCTAAAACCAAGTAGAATTGCCAGTGGCCACTGTTAAATGTTTATGTTTGCTATCTGAAATGCCACAGTTTTCTCTACACTTAGAAGACAAAATAGCTGTCATATCTCAGATAAAACTCCCAATGCCTTTTCATGTCAAATGTCACTTTTCAATGGGTTCAGACCTCTGAAAAAAACTACCCCTATTCTTCAATAAGTTATCTTGATAAAAATCTGATGAAGCTATTTTTAATGTCATGTTGTAAAGGTGGAGTTAGCAATTCCCACTGACTGCCAGAACCGGCATTTGTCTGATTTTCATTATTCTGTGCCTGGGAACTGCAGTCCCTGTGTGAAAGGTCTCCTCCAGAGGAGCAGCATAAGAAGTGCCCCACTCAAGTGGCACTGAGCAGAACTGTGTTGTGTACAGAATTCATCTGACCAGAGCCCCCAAGAACACCAGAGATTTTGGGACAGCCTCACCCCAGACTGCCTGCACTAAAGTTGATGTACCATGAATGTTGGATTTCAGGGGCAGCAAGTTTAGAGGGGGAAAACCCGCCCTATGAAATCTTAACCAGTGATTTTTGAACTCAGAACTTTGCCCTCCTTTGTTGTGCAGATTAACAGTGTAACTTGACCTTTTGTCATTTCTCCTCATTTCGTTTTATTGGCAAATTCTGTATGTCTCAAAATGGCATAACGCACCAAATTTGGCTATAAAAAACACATCTTGCTTCACCAAATCTTTCCCCTTCCAAAGCCCAGCGGCTATGTACTTTGGAAGCCCTTTCTTTAGGATATTTTGTAAACAACTAAAGATACTGCATTGTTGGTGTACTTGATTTGCCTGCAGACTGAGAAAATCGGGATAAAGTAGTGTTTTTTATTTAAGTTATATTAACTGTATGTATGAAGTGAAAAAAAAAATCAGGTGGCAGTAAAGGGCCAATTAAGTAAGAAAAAAAATCAGTTTCAGTTGAATATTCATTTAGATAAAAAATTAAACTGAGAAGACCCCAAAAGGTCCTGCAATTTCACCCCACAATCAGAATTCCGGGACTCTTAGTTTTTATTTGTACTAGTTAGATGTTCGTATCTCCCAGATATTCCATTGTTAAGAAATATGCTGGCAAAGAGATGTGGAATTTCATAAACATATGGAAATATATTTGCTGGCAAGAAAAATCATACACTCAAGCCAGAAACCATGACTTTAAATAAAACACCAGAAGAGGCTTCCTTCAGTATTCACACTGTAAAGATTTGAAAACTTCATTATTTCTAAATACAAGGCTTTTCACAGAAAAAAAGTTTCTGTTGAATGCAGTATATTTAGTGCATAAGTATACATGAAACATGCATTTATGTAATATATTTGAAAAGCTAGTAAAAAAATATTTTAAAAAAGGGTGCATAACCCTTGTGGACAACTGCCCTACTGACTTGCAATAGCGAGGTCAGAGGCATTAATTTTCCTCCAACAAGCAATGAAATGTTGGTTATCGCTTCTCTCTCGGTTTACCTAAGTAGGAATGGGAAGGGAATGTGCTCTCGGCACTTTATTTATTTTTATATTTATTTATTTACTTGTGTATTTATTTATTTATTTACTTACTTACTTACTTACTTATTTTCATGCAGGAAATGGGGTTAGTTTGGTTGTGCCCAGCTCCAGCTGCCACGCTCGGCTCCCAGCACTTTATCTATTTATCTATCTATTTATTTATTTGAATTATTTTTTTTTCTTATGTTCATGCGGGAAATGGGGTTAGTTTGGCTGCGCCCAGCTCGGGCTGCCACGCTCAGCTCCCAGCACTTTATCTCTTTATCTAATCTATCTATCTATCTATCTATCTATCTATCTAGCTATCTAGCTAGCAAGCTAGCTAGCTAGCTATCTACCTATCTATCTACCTATCTATATCGCTATCTACCTATTTATTTAAATTTATTTCCTTATTGTCATGCAGAAATGGGGTTAGTGTGGCTGTGCCCAGCTCTGGCTGCCACGCTCGGCTCCCAGCACTTTATTTGTTTATGTATCTATTTATCTATTTATGTATCTATTTATTTATTCCCCTGTTGGTTTCCTTATTGCCATGCAGGAGCGGGGCTGTGCCAGCTCCGGCCGTGCCCGCTCGGGGCCGGGCAGCTCCGGCAGGCGCGGGCGCGGCGGGGCTGCAGTTCCCGCCCGCACCGCCAGGTGTCGCCGGGCGCTCCCGAAAGCGGCGGCCCAAGGGCGGCCGCGGTGACAGCGCCGGGAGGGAGCGGCGACATCGGAGCGGCCACCGCCAGCCCCGGAGCCAGCCCGAAACACGGGGTGCACACCCAACTCGGGACCGGGGTGACATGGATGATGGTGGTGGCTAAGAGAGTAAAACTAAGCTATCCTAATGGAAGACAGAAACGTAATAGAAAATATGACAGAATTCAAAACCACATAGTGCAAAAATTGTTCACCTTGTTTTTTGCTGCTGTCTGGGAAAAAGGCTGCATACCGTAGGCCTTTCAAAATAAAAACAAAACAAACTTTGTATCTATACTGTAAGCCATCTGATTATCAGGATATACACAAGGCTAGAAAGAATTCATGCACAGTGACCAGGAAATCAATGTTAGTTCTAAGTTCTGGTTGCATACATTTCCTCCTGCATTCCTGGAATGCTACCTGACACTTTAACCACATTTTATTTCTTTAGAATATCCCATGTACTTATATGATTAAAAGAACCCAACACCCATCATTCTTATCCATATATACACCCACCACCAGGCCAATTTAAAAATCATCAAGAATATTAATGATTGTTAATTAATGCACTCTCTTTGATACATAAACCTTCTTCGGGCATCTAAAAAAGATCCTTCTAACATAATTTACTGCATAGGTAGTTGTCCCACCTGAAGGAAAACAACACCTTTGCTGCATATTATCAAAGGTTAGGCTATCACTTTATCAATAAAACTCACAGTCCTTATTTGTGTATTACAGGTGACCCATTTTCCCAGGGCCGTGCAGACTGAAGGAAGGATCTCTGCCACAGGCACTGGGATTCCTGGCGCAGGGCAGGGGAGGCCTCCCGGGTCACGGTGCTGGCAGACACAGGGAATCCTGTGCCGGTGCCCAAGTCCTGCGGTTCAGCAGCACCAGCGGCTGGCCCCGAGAGGCAGCGGATTTGGCAGCAAAGCTGGTAACTCACATCCAACAGGAGACCTCCCCCTGCCTTCTGCCCGGCTGCCCGCTGCAGTCCCGGGTCTATGCATCAGCAGGGCAGCAAATGAGTTTGGGGGACTGTGTGTAATAGCCAAAGAGCCATGCTCTGTTAGGCAGAGCAATCAGATGGGTCACACGTGGTCACTTGTTCTTTATATTCAAATCTGACAAACATTATATCATAAAGGTCACTTTGCGCTGACGTAAAAAGCTGAGATTCACTCAGCAACGTGAGTGAAGTACTGCAACAATTTCAAAAAAACAATTTATGACCAGCACGTAAGCTTACTTTTCTTTGTCATTTGTCTTAAGTAGGTTGTCTTAAAGCAAAAACATACATTTATTCTGGAAGTACGGAAAAATAACATGGGATAGAAAATGTCAGGCTATCCAGAACATTTGACAATTTAAATACAGATAAACCCAACAGAAAGGAATGAATCATCATGTCGTAGCCTTTACTGTAAAATAAAATACATAGTTGTTGTCAAGGAAAGAATAATTTTAGTGCACAAAGAAAATGTCCATTATAATGCAAATGTACATGGAAAAGAAATGCTTACTCATTAGTAATGGAGATTTACTTAGCTGTAATTGAAATAGGGAATCTGTATGTTGGAGAATGTGACATCCTGCTGTACAATTAGCATACCATTAAGTAGGAGATGTGAAGCACATACTGACAGTAAAATTAACAATAACTTAGAGGTCACAATTGTAACTATTAGGTCACTTCCACACCACAGCAAGCCCATAATTATTGTAAAAAAAAAGATGTTAAAACAAGTAATAAATTTTCATTTTCACATAAATTATATGTAGGCATAACACATGAAAACAGTATAACCTCCTTTCTTAGACTTTGTCTAAAAGGACCACTTTGCCTTTTTATAATGCACATTCCATTAACATAGCTCATTTCTTACCTGTTAATCTGTTTTCTCCAAGTCCCTTAATGGTAGCCCAGATACTCGGTATTAAGTCACTCTACTATCAGGTGGAGAGAGGAAAAGGGAGGGGGAAAAAAGCAAAACTCTATTCATGAAACTCCCCCTTACGGGGATTTGCTGGTTTCACACTGTTGAACTAGATTTCCCAAACAATCCAAATTATGGATCTCCTTTGGACCCAACCAGTAAGCTAAAAGAAAAAAAGTGTCACATAGATGGGAAAGACAGTTATAAGTCAGTTACCCCTTTGGCATGATCATGTTTATTTACAAATATTATATATACAGTTCTGTTGTCCTAAATTCAATATGAAGCAAATGAAGGAAATAATTTCTCATGGAGTTCATGGTTCCCAGCATTTCCTGTGTGGCACTTGTCCCATAGCACTCTCTGCACTTTTTTTCCCCCAGGTGTTCTGTTTTAAGTGCTTCTCCAGCGTTTCTTTTTATGTGTGTGCTGCTGTGCTGTTCCTCTCTCTCTCCCCTATCCTCGTGCACACACAGCTCCTTCCAGATCACCAGATTTTCATCCAGACCCTCCTGTGCACAAACTCATGTCAGCCCTGCATGGTGTCTATGCTTTAACAGTCCCCAGAGCTCCAGCTGCCCAGTGGATAAGAAACTTAGAGCAGTTTCTCGCTAGTCTAAAGGAAGAGTTTTAGCAGATACACAGTAGATTTCACCCACCGTGTATCGTAACACTTTTTGGTCTGCCACAGTGGTGGAATCTAGAATGGCAATAAGGTCCATGCCAGCAGAAAGAAGTAATTTTAAAAATATAAATTATTTAAAAATAGTAGTATTTGCATGCTACATCTATTTCAAGACATTTTCAAATCACCAGCTCAAGACTTCAGTGTAATCTTTCCATGACTATTTTACAACCCTTTAAAGTATGTCAATAAATGAATTCCTGCTATTTCTCAGATTCCCATTTCTTTGACATGTAATGAGATAGGCCATGCTCAATTTAAATACATAATTTCTGAAGCAAATGTTCTGGATTCTGATATTTTAGGATTTGGGAACAGCCATAAGGAACACTTCCATCTCTTCTCACCTCTATCAGCTTTAACATCAGAGTTCTTTACATTTTTCCACCGTCAACTAAGAAAGAAGCTTTCAAAATCTTGGGTTCTGATGCCAAGGTTTCTTTGCTGTCCTTCAGTAACTTCACTGGAACCCAGCAAAGTTGACTACTGGTCCATATCAAGTAGAAAGATACACTGAAATAAATGCCTTACAAGAATGATGCCCCTTTTTTTCATGTCTTTGATCTTGCTTAGGTTTTGCATCATGCATCCATCATTGTCTGCTGTTGAGAAGTAATTCCTATGTTTTCTAATCTTTCATATTTCAAACTTTCTGCTGTAAATTAAAAGCCTTTATTATATAAGAAGTGGTGGTACTGCATTCTAGCATGGATGTATCTACCATTTCATTACTCTTCTCTGGTATCCAGGTCCTCTCCTTAAAAGGACTCAGAGTATGCTGCAAGAACCTGTGCCCCCACTCACATTAAACAAAGCAGCATCTATTTCTGTCTAAACACATTTTCCATTCTTAATAAATCAGTTCCTTTCTGTCTTTTTCAGGCAGCATCTGCTCCATCAAAGCTTTCTCAATTAGACATGAGCTTTACTAAAGGTAATTGCTAAAACCTTGCAGTACATCTTTATGACTCACAAATATCGGGAACCAGGGTGGGGGTGCACTTCCTATGAGACTTCTGTCCTCCAGTACAAAACCCGGAGAAATGCTTCTTATTTCTACATTTGCTGCAAATAGCTACTGTCCACTTCATTTATCTGTCTTGTACTTCTCTCAAGGTGTAAATACTGGAATCCCTGCCCTACACAAAAGGCAACCTGAAACAGGCTTGGACTGGAGCAGTTGTTAACAGCCCTGATGAGATGCAGAAATGCTAACCCAGCATTTAGCTCAGCTTTGAAATGCCTCCCTTTGCCCATCTATCCACTGCCTTTGCCATTCTGTTCAACTTCCAAGTAACTGCTCTCTAGTAAGAGGAGTTCTATGAAGTGTGGCCGATTATCTGTAGAGCTGCACAGATGGGAGCCTTCCTTTTTTTTTTTTTTTTTTTTTTTTTTTTTTTTTTTTTTTTTTTTTCCCCGAGAGTGCAAGTGGATGTGGCACGTGCAGCCTGGCCTGTGATTTAAGCAGGCTCTATCTCATGGGGTACAGGGGCCAGTAAGAAATCTCCAGCTTATCGGGGTCTCTGGCAGAGGTGCCTGTTTCCACCCAGACACCAGCCCGCGTCAAATAGTACCTGGGTTGAACAAACATTATGTGTCATGGAACATCATTCCCAGTATTTTTTCAAATGCAGAGGGGACACTGTGTTTGTTTTTCACCAGAAGCCTTAGCCTGCTGTGAGGGCAGTCTCCCTGCTGCCCTTTGGGTCAGTTTGTTCTTCATGCCACGTTCCTGGCTCCATCTATTCCTTAGCAAGCATGAATCCTCCTGTAAACATCCTTTCGGTAGCCTACAGGATCTGCTTTTATCTTTTCATCAGAACAATGATGAAAAGGTTAGGCTTCAAACCGAGGAAGGTGTGATTAATTCCTTGATGGCTCAGAGGACTTACTCCATCTTTGCAGCAGGTAAATGGTGAGTTGGCTGTTTACTAAAGTATTTCCCTTTCATCATTGCTGTAAAGGATCTATATTTGATCAGGACGATTGCTTTCCAATGATAAAAGTTTCTTAGATCATCACATGTTTTACATTTAATGCTAGAGCAATGCTTTGGGGTAAATTCAGCACCAAAATAAGCTTATTTTCTCCCCTGCAGTTTTCCTGCACCCATGTGTTTACTAGATATATTTCTTCCTGTTTTGCATCTATGTTTTTCCTACTGCTTTTGCTCATCCAAAGAGCTCAGCAAATAAACAAGCATCCATCTCTCTTTCAAAGCCAAAAAGATTTCAGCAGCTAGAATCCCTTTGTGAATTTTTTTTTTCACTTTATCTTTTCCTTCTTTTTCTAGAAAACTACCACAGCAGGTAGCTGCAATGTGCTTTTACAGACAGGATAATCTGGCCATTCAGATCAGTTGCCTTTATAGATTCTTTCCTTCGCTGACCTGGGCTTTATCTTTAAAATAGATTTCCATAAATTGACTCTGTAGGACACTTTGTAGGTATTCATTATTCATATTTTATCATAAAGAAATCCAAAATAATTATGAATTAATATGTCCTCACAACTACTGAGGCATCTTGCTTTATTTCAAGTACATTTATTTATTTATTTGTTTGTTAATTATGTCCAGGGTTTTAGCATCTCAGTAATTAATTGGAGTTTCTTGTTTTACATGATTTTA